ATTTTATAGTTTTGCAGAGTAAAAAAATAGGAAGGCCAACGAATGCCAAGCCAAAATATATATTTTTTATTAGACAAAAATGTAGACTACTAAAAACTGTTAACCAAAAAAATCGCAAAAAATCGCGAAACTTATCCCAGTCAAAAATGTAAACCTCTGAGAAAAGAAAATTTTAACAATTAATATGAATCTTAAGTTGTTTATCGCATGTATTGCTTGGACAATGAGAAAATTATATACATGGCGTTTAATATTTGTTAAAAGTGTTTACGCCTACTTTTTCTTTTTATCCGTTTTTAATATTACATTAAGGTGGCCTAGATGCATTGTTAAAAATTGCTCAAAGGGCATTAAAAAATCACATTTAAGTCCAGAATTATGTTAAGAATCCGAGAATGTAAATATATACAGGGGTTTCTATTTAATTTTTTTAACCTGGACCCATTTCCGGTGAAACCGGAAGTGACCGAAAAAATATGCGAAAACCCTCCTCTTTATACACCATTTACCTATTACCAACACTCTGTATTTCACTTTTTATCTGCTAAACGAAGCAACTGCGTTGAGTCAAATTGAACTATTTTCAGAAAAGGAATCTCTAGATTTATAATATTCAATTTTCGGGATAAAACATAGTAACTATCGCGATATATCGATAGTAGGTATGCAGACATTACAAAATAATTTTTTCTGGCTAAACCGCTCATCGAACTTTTACAAGAGACAAAAAAGTTTTTAAACAAAGTAAGCTTTCTATTTCCTAGCAAACCATTATATCAACAGTAAAAAAAATACAAGCGAAAATTAGTACCTAACCTTGCTTTTCTGATTATTCTAATTTTTAATTATAACTGAGTTTAGCACCAAACGACGTTAATTGGCAGTTAAAACTTAAATTCCAAAAATATTAGAAATACATTAATACGTTATTAAGATATTAAAAAAATACCTAGTTATTTTTTAAAACTTTAAAGACCTCTAACGACTAAACGAAGCAACTTAGTATAAAGGTAATTTGGGTTAAATCGACTTATTTTGATCCGAAGATAACGTTGGTATGGTTTGTTACACTAGTTGAAGATAACCCTGTATTTTATAAATTAATTTCCAAAAATACTAATGTGGCAACACTGGAAAATGAAAAAATAAATTATATAATTAATTACCAGCATTGGTTAGTCTCAAAGTTTAATTATTTTTAAAGTTTTAAGTAAATAGAAAAAAAATTGAATTAATGCAACCTAGTTTGGACATTGGGCCCACAGTGTGTCCGTCTGGTTTATAATCTACTATAATTTTGTTTTTGTTTATTTAATTATATATATAAAAAAATTTAACAGGTTTTAAAAAGTTAAAAAAATTTAATAAATATAGTTAATATGTACAGTGCGAACGTAACCCCCTCCCCCTTTTATTTTTGGAACAAGTAGGTTAGGAATTGGATATTTTAGGATGTTATAAACTCTAAGGTAAGTACTACATTAAATACTACTTTTTAAAATAAAAACTTTTAAAATGTCGTCTTACTGTCAAAAGGTTACTTTTTAATACCCCTGAATACAGTCTCTTTGTTTAGACTTATGAAGAAAAAGAAACTATAATCAACCCAATTTGTTGGTTTGTAGGAAATTAGCAACATAGATGTTGGTTTGTTAAAAATTGTAAAAATGTCAATTTTGTTCTTTCATCCTGTAAAATGGTAAAAATAAGCAGTTACATATAACAAGCTTTATCTACGCCAGTGAGATAAGAACTTCTTATCCCACTCATTTTGAGTGAGATAAGAAGTTCATTAACGCACGCGTTTTTCTCTGTTTTTAACCAATCAAATAAAAAAGTCAAAATGTCAAAATAACCCTAAATTAAGTCTTAGACAAAAATAATTACCGTTTATTTTTTCATTTAGAGGCGTAGATAAAAATTTGTACAATATAGGTGTGATAACGCTTTATTAACGTACTTTTGCGATTGCCCAACTCGTGCTACGCACTCGTTGGGCAAATTTCGCATGCGTACGTTAATAAAGCTCTTATCCCACTTATATCGTAAATAACTATTAAGAGACATTTTAATTGATGTCACATAATAACTTCGTGACTTACATATCCCGCTTTGTATTTTTTTAAATGTGACCTTTTCTTTTTTTAATCCATACATTCAAAAAGTTTTAACTAAGGTTAGGTTTAAAAATTTACAAAACAAACTGTTGAATTTTAAAAATTGTACTCATAAAATGCAAATTTTTTATTATAATTTTGGATATACCCTGTTCAGAATTTGAAAAATAAGTAGTTGGTTATAATTAGCTTACAAAAACGTTTTTTTTTACAGTATAGTACGCAATTTTAAACATTTTTCAAAAATTGTGTATGTCAATGTCTAGTTTAAAATACTACAATGTTTAATTCCTAACCTACCCGTTTTAAAAATAAAAGGAGGGAGAGTTTTTACGTCCGTACTGAAATTTTAGGTTACTGTGTTGTTTAGGTATGGGAAGTATGATTTAAATTGTTTATGTCACAAATGTAACCTAGTCACTTTTAACAGTAAATTATTAATTATATCTAGTGTATTTTTTTCCATTTAACTGTTATCATAAAATAATTTTATTGAAATTAAACTAAAATTCAAAACCTAATGTAATAAAATAATTTTTATTTTAAGATAATTGTTTTTATACAGTGTGACTCATTTGTTTGCGCCTCACCCCTGTAAAATCTTTATTTATTGTGCGCTTTTAACCGGATTTGTTTTAAAGTGTAGATATTGATAAACTGTATTTTTAGAGCAAAAAACTATGTTAGTTTTTGAGATTCAATTTTGAAGTACATATTATCGGTTTAAAAAAATCTATGCACCCTTAAAACAGGGTCTATATTTTATTGAAATTTTTTTAAGGACCGATTTTGTAGCCAAATTAAAAATGAACAATAAAAACTATTAAAAAATTTATTCTGTCAAGTTATCCATGAAAAAAACATTGAAATAAAATTAAACTAATAACATGGTATAAATATAACTATATGTTTAGTTTTAACAAATAAAAAATGCAATAGAAACTTAAAACAAAAATGAAACAAAAAATAGAGAATTAAAAAAATCCTCTACAATTATATTTTCGTCACTTCTACTTCACAAGAACTACGGGCCTGCGTAGTCATTCCTCCAGAACAAATATAAAAGTGTATTGAAATAAATGGTGGATTAGTAGAGGTGACGAATATCTAATTGTAGATAATTTTTGGAATTCTATATTTTTAGTTTCATTGTTGTTTAAAGTTTATATTGTGTATTTTATTTGCTAAAAGTAAGCATAAGAATATTTATACCATGTTTTTATTAGTTTAATTTTATTTCAATGTATGAATAATTTTGCATTTTCAATTTAGCTACAAAATCGTTTCTACTTAAAAATGTTCAATAAAATTTAGTATATGGTTGTTTTGAGGGGTGGTGAATCCAGTGCCAGTTTTAATTTACTTTTAAAACATACATAGTAGCCCTTGTATTTTGTAAAAAATATGGTCTATGTAGATATAAAAACAATTTTGTTGTAAAGTTTCACGAAATTTATTAAATTTTGACAGCTGTTTCGCTACACAGTAGCTTCTTCAGAATGTATTATTATTATTATAATACATTCTGAAGAAGCTACTGTGTAGCGAAACAGCTGTCAAAATTTAATAAATTTCGTGAAACTTTACAACAAAATTGTTTTTATATCTACATAGTTAATATGGAGTTTCATCAAGTAAAGGTCGAAACAATTAATAATAAAAAATATGGTGTTTTTTGGTTCAAAAATACAGTTTATTAAGATCTACACTTCAAAACAAATCCGCTTAAAATTGCACAATAAATAAAGATTTTACAGGGGTGAGTCGCACTGTATAAACACCTTTTAGTTAAATGCAAGAGAGAAGATTTTCAAAATTTGACAAAATTAATAATTTACTGCTAAAAGTGACTAGCAAAGGCGCCGGCAAAAAACAATCGAGAGGGGAAAAATTACGTGCAATTTTAAGTTTTTATCAATGTTTAAATATTGCGTTTTTGTATTATTATAATTTTACAGGGGGCCAACGGTCTTGCCTTTCCTGCTGGCACCCATGGTGACCAGGTTACATTAGTAAACTTTATTGTTCATTTTAGCACTAAAAATCATCAAATTGAAAATCATTTACTCATGTCCCAATATCAATAAAATATCTAAAATTCAAGATATTTTGAGAGAATTGTTCATATTTCAGGAAAAATAAAAGTTTTAGTCTAAAAATGACTGACTTGATAGAGTTTGTAAGTTTACTAATAAGAATATCTTGATAAATATGAACATTATGGAAAAATTTATGAAAACCTTTTTTGTAGAGAATTTAATTTCCTACAATTATTGTCCCTACAAATTTTTCTCAAAACAAAATTCTGTAAGAGATATTTAAAAAAAACTACAATTTTATCGAAAAATTGGCCGTCGGCACGTGTTCTTATTTATGAAAACCAAAAAAAGTTTTTTTCCCCTCAGTTTTTCATGGAAAGGAAGGATTTTTTTGGGCGTAGAAAAGAATTTAATTTAATTTTTAACGACCACCCTACTGAATATCTATTTTCATGACAGGGTTGTTTGCGTTGAAGCGATATTTCCCCCTTACAAAAAAGTGCTCCTCCTCTTTAAAACCAAATGCGTCAGCTGTTTACACTTACTAATTACTACTTTTTAATAAATTACTAATTTATTTTAGCATTTATTTTAGCTCCGCCGTACAATATTAATGATAAAATTGATTCCGGACAAAATGCGTATAAGGTTGTGAATAATATCGAAATTATTATACGCTTAAAACAAATGATTATCTTATATATTTATTTTTTTATGTATAAAACATCAAAATAAATATTTTATTATGTTAAACCTGGTTTCGTAATCTAGTTCACTTAGCTGTAATTGTAGTACAAATGTTGTAATATCGTAATTATTGTTTTATCAATAACCTAAATTATACCTGTGCAAAAATACGACTTCAACGTCCACATCCTCTCTGTCTTCGTGTAAAAAATCCTTGAGAAAATGGGACACCGACTCGTAGGTAATGTGTCCGCAAACCACGATATGCCTAAACACAAAAAATTCTATAATACCCATAAAATAAAAACTTTATATAGAAACTTCAAATAAATTTACTTCAAACTTCACTCTAGAGTGTTAGTGTAGTTATTATGCAAAATTAGTAAAAAAATATAGTGTTATTTTGCAGATACATGCGTAGTACTCCGTTAACAATTTAATCAGAAATAAATAATGGAAAAGTAAAACGACACACGACATTAATTCAATTCAAAAATGTTAATGAAAGCAAATGTGGCTTTATATGCAATTTTGGTTCTCCGAATATCATTTAACCATCCCATTAATTACTAGCAAAAACTACATAATCTACAATAAATACCATGAATTAAGTTTATTTTACTCTATCAAATTATTAACAAATCAGTTATTGCATATTGAGTGCAAAATTACTAACTTCACTTAAATCAACATGTTTTGCCTAACAGTAATAGAATATTTAGTTTTAGGTTGGACGTCAATCATTATCAATACTTAATGAAACAATTTAAGGCCAATACATTAATATAAGTTAATATTAACTTAATATTAACTCCACAATTATTGAAAATTTTACTTTAATTATTAGTTGGAATATTTATTTTTTTAGTATAAAAAAGTAAGCGTTTAGCCCCTGATTTTGCTTCTAATATCCCAAATGTTAAAAAAAAACTAAAACCACAAAAAATATGTACATTTAGAATTTACATTAAAATGTTTAAAACTAGTCTTATATTAAATTTCTCAGTGAACTAAACATTTTTTAGATCCTTTATAATGATAAAGGTGCAGAAATTTAAATGTATAGGAAATAATTTTTTAAATTTAGTTGTATTTGGATAGCGTTTATCGAAAAGTAACCAAGCTCCAAAAACTTTTTCTGGGGTAAACAAAATTATTTTCAAAATAACTCATTTATAATGATGCTCAAAAAATTAATAATGATTTGTAAACCTTCTAAATCCTTTTGAGAAAAGTTCCAAATGATAATTAAACTTTTGAGAAATATTAAATATGGGTAATTTTACAAATAATTTTACCAAGCCCAGAAAAAGTTTTTAGCGCTTGGTTCCTTTTAGATAAGCGTTATCCATTTAAACTTTAAACTTAGAGGCATAAACTTATATACTATCACCAAAATTCATATAAAATAGGTAATTTATAATGTTAAGTCATAAGAAAACCATGAATTTTTTATGCCTTATTTTTAAAATATACCTACAGAAGTGGAAATTGTTATCCATATAAATTATGAAAAATTCTTGCCACTCCTATTTTGTTTATTAAAACTTTAGGGGTCATCAGTAAAGAACGTTTAGGGGGTAGGAGTAAACCTACTTGTCTGTGAAGAGGTGTGTGACGTGGATAGTGAGTAAATTTACATCAAGCAAATACAATTTTTTTTGCTATTTTAAAAATATATTTTTGATTTTTATTTTTTAATTACACAAGACAACATAGATTTTGTCTCTGGTATAAGGGTATGAAATTACGATAGGTTTATCGCCATTTATCCGAAACAAATATATATTTTATAAAAAGTTTGCTTTTGTAGCCAGGAGAATATCTAATTAATATTAAAAAAATATATGATTTCAATTTTTATAAGTATATTAAAAAAACAATACAAATAAATTTGTATTTTGTTTTTAATTACAAAACTTCTATTATGTTTTTTTCTCTTGTTAAACCCCAAATATAGTTTCCTTCATAATACATTATAGTGTACTTGATATCGGCTTTTAAGTACCCTCCATATGCTAGACTTTTAGAGACATCCAGCAACTCATGGCCATTTTAAGTTTTGGATAAAAAAAAAGGATAAAAATACAAACAACATTAAAAAATATCCGATAACTGCTATGAATAAATGAAGGTAAACATAATAATTTTATATTAAACAGATGTGAACACTTTTTAAAACACTAGCGTCTAGAGGCACCGAATTGTCTTGGCTTCCTGGCTCCTAGACATGCGCGTTTTATAGAAATGTACTCAAACTCAACAGCACAACCCAACCGACCCCGCCCCATTGGCCCCCCCCCGCCCCTTGAGCAAAAAACCCAACTAAAATGGGCAAACTTATGTTACGATAAAAATAAAACACTTTTTAATTACATAAATTTGCCCATTTTAGTTGGGTTTTTTGCTCAATGGGGCGGGGGGGCCCAATGGGGCGGAGTCGGTTGGGTTGTGTTGTTGAGTTTGAGTACATTTCTATAAAACGCGCATGTCTAGGAGCCAGGGAGCCAAGATAATTCGGTGCCTCTAGACGCTAGTTTTTAAAACGGATAAAACGTCTAGTATATTTAGTTTATTGTTAAAAAATTATTTATTGTTTTTGTAAAAGCTTAAAAATTGTATTATTACTACCACCACTAAAGCAAACTTTAAAGAAGATGTGGATATTTTGATATGTGTTGAATAAAAAATCATAAAATAAATCCAAGGATAACGAAAAGTTTTTGATTTGTCGAGTTGTTTTATTATTAATACATAATATTGTGATATGTCTGTAAAATAAGTAAAATACATTTTTTGCATATGGATGGATTGTCGTGCTAAAGAGAAATTATAGGAGGTTTAAACTCCCAAGGCTTAAATTTTTTAAACAAAAAAGTCGGGAAATATATTTTTTAATTACCAATCTTAGATTTACCTCCCTATTTTTCCAATGTATGAAGGTTTTTGTTGAGCCTGCAGTGACCCGTTAAAATTCCGATAATATCAGAAAGATTTTTGCTCGAGAACTGCTATTATTTTGCCAACCTGTCAGATGAATAACTAATTGTGGTTTTGGTCTGACGGTATTACTTAAGTCATTGTTTTTCATGGATTTATTTATTTATTTGGGAATTCAAGGCAGATTTTGATACAAGCTAAATAGGTTTAGAACCTATTGGCAGTTTTGCCATATGTAAATATTACAATGCTCCACTAATAATTGTATAATCATATAATAAAAAACGTGTGACCTTGGGGGAGAGGGTAGTCGCGACTTTGTGACAATATGTAACAGGGGGGAGGTGGGTGTCTAAAATTCCCAAAAAATTGTAACGTTCTTTATGGACGACCCCTTACACTATAAAAATTACATTTTTTTTGTTTTTATCTTTAAACCAAAGATGACCATTTCGGTTTAAATATCATGTATGTATACATCTAACAAAGGTTGTTCTAGAAACAATAGAAACAAACCAAATAAGAGAAATTAGTTTTTTAGTATAAAGTAAGCACTTAAGCACCAAAATAATTTGATGTTAAAAGTTGAGTATTTCTAATATTCACATTTAAATCCCCACACTTATACCTAGATTCGATTATAAATAGAAAACATGTTGATTTATATTAAAGCAGGTGTTTAAAAAAAATGTACGAACAAAACTGATTTGCAATAATAAATGTATCTAAATGAAACACTAGGTAATAATAATAAATAGTAGTAATAAATTTAAAATCTAAGAACATGTACAAGGTGAGCGCCTGTGCAACACAGCCTGGCCACGCACAATGTCCGGAGGTGGCACACATGCCGCCATTTTGCATGCAATCCACTCGCTAAATATTAAAAAGTGCCGCCGGCCGTGACAGAGGCACCCCTCTCACTTTACCTAACTTAATTTTTCCAATTTTGTTTCGTTTTTTGGGACCTCCGACACGGCCGGCAATGTTTTTATTTAATTAAATTCGATAAAAAACGACATCTAATGTTCCGAAAATGAAAGACGGCATTAAAAAAACATCGACACAACAACACATAATAACGGTGGTCGTCTTTAAAAATAGAGAAAGGGACGTGTTTGGGATAACGACGAAGGGGAGCAGAAGCGTGCAGGACAAGGTAATCAGCGAAATAGCACTGAAATCTGTACTACCGTGTCAAGCACAAACGCCGTATCTACAATAATGAGTAATAAAGAATAATAGTAAATTTGTATTTATAAAACTTTTGTCCGATATTACTTAATATTGTAAATATAGGCAGCATTTTAGCTTAGCATGACAGTGTACTACTTATAAATCATATAAAATAATAAAAAATTAAATTAGGAGTAGTTATAAGTTTTGAACATCTAACCATTAACAAGTAACAGCATCCGTGAAAACGGATGGTGGGTGGTGGGGAGCTCACCTTCTGCCTCTTTCGTTCTTCAAGGTGCCGCCGTACTTTGGCCTAGTCCCGATCAAGTCAATTATCTCGGGGATACAACTCGCAAATATCGCCTACACCGCCACATGAACAAACAAAGACAACAGTCGCATCAGATTTTTAGCAGCAGAACAGAGGCCTACCTTTATCGCATATCGCTTTTTAACCCACTTACTTTAATAACCACCACGGGAATTTCCATCACGAAAACTCCAGCGGTTACATCTTAAAAACGATACGCGATAAATGTATATGAGAGTAATGTTTTTAGCTGCCTGAAGCACAATCGGGAAGGTATATCGGGATTTATTGATAGGATCTGGGATCTATTTTAACAAAAAATAAAAAAACACCAAATTCACAACATTAAGTCCAATGAGAGGAGCCTTACAGGTCGATTTTTGACTGAAATGGATTTTTTGTTATTTATTAAACTGTGGTTTTGTATTGACGACGATTTTATTTTATATTTATTTATCTTTTGATAACCCTGCAGTCGCGTCGTGCGTGGCACTAGCAGGCTGTGCAGGCTTTTTAGGTGCTACTATAGGCTACAGGGCCAGCTATGACTTCTAACTAGGCTTTCGTATAGTAGTGTCCCAAATCATGTGCTATCTGGAATCAAACCCCGCCAAGTATTTAATTAAGTTTAATATAGTAATTATTACTAAGCATACGGTCAAAAAAATATACTTTGTTTTAACAAATATTTTAGGTGCAGCAAAACATTATTTCTCACATTGATGGTACCTACACAAATTTTAAACTAATTACACATAGAAATCTAAAACTGGGCAGATTTATATGTTAGTAAAATTATTAATTTATTGTTTATATAAGAAAATGTAAACCAAGAAGGCAACCAACACAAAAAAAAACTTTTGTCACATTTATTTTCACAAAAATTACATAACGATTTCGATTACAATTCAAGAAAATCTAGTTTAAACTGTTTGTTTGTTTGTTAAGGTATTGATATAAAATTACTTTGACAGTTTGACAAAAAAAAACGCAGAAAAAATGTGCCACGCCCTTAGTTGAGACAGACAATAATTGTGCCAGATAAGGCCTGCGATATCACTTCTCCCTTGCGTCGCGCTTACGTTCTTGTTTGTCAGACTACAAAATAGTTTTGTCTGCATTCTTATATTGAGTTTAGTGTACTTTGTAAAATCTAGCAAAAGGGCAAATAAAAACTTCTTGAAAATAATTAAAAGATTTTTTATAATTTACAATTTTTTTAAAAGTACATAGCAAAGGATTTTAAATATACTTTCCCGCAAAAAAGTTGTGCATATTCAGGGTGCAAAAGTAAGAAGAATTTTCTTCCGAAATTTACAAAAGTAAAAAAAAAAAATTTCCGACACCCTGTGGTGTTAGTAATTACAGTAATACTGTAGCCCTATCTTCTCTCAACATTTTATTTTTTATTTACGTTCTTATCTCTGTTATTAACGAATATGTATATACGAGGTGTGTTCAGAAAATAACGGGAATTGTTAAATTTCGCGGGTTCAGAGGGTCCGGTTGTCATAAAATTTTCTTTATTATGTTGGTATACATGCCCCAGAAGTATGATAAAAACTTTAGTTGTTTTCATTGTTTACTTTGTCTGTGGCAGCCGCTAAGGTTAGACGTGATTTATGAGCTCGGCGATTTTTAATTCGTTAAAAGAAATGGACCAAAGAATTTGTATCCAATTTTGCTTAAAAATGAAATAAATTTTGTAAAATGTTAACAAAGGCCTATAGTGAGTCTGCTATAAGTAAAACAAGAGTTAACAAGTGGCATAAGAGTTTCCAAGATGGCCGTGAAGACGTTGAAGATGAAGAACGCCCCGAACGCACAAGCACATTAACAACCGATTAAAACATGGTTATAAAATATCAGAGAAGTCGCTGATGATGTTGGTATATCGATTGGCTCATCCCATGAAATTTTTTCGAATGTTTTGGGTATGAAACGCGTGGCAGCAAAATTTGTGTGGCAGCAAAATTTGTTCTAAAATTGTTAAATTTTGAACAAAATTTTTGGCCAAAAACAATACTGTAATGATTCCCCAGCCTCCATATTCGCCAGACATGCCTCTGTCTGACTTTTTCCTATTCCCAAAAATTAAGAGAACCTTAAAGGGCCGTCGTTTTGCATGCATAGATGACATTAAAAGCGCATCGCTGAAAGAACAAAGGCTATCCCAAAGATCGAGTTTTAGTATTGTTTCGAGTATTGGAAGAAAAGCTGGCACATGTTAATAATATCCAATGGGGACTATTTTGAAGGGGACAACATTAATGTAGACGAATAAATAAATATTTGTTTCAAAAAATTCCCGATATTTTCTGAACACACCTCGTATGTATACACTGTTTTAAGGCCAACGCTGGAACGAATTACAGTTAATTTAAAATATGACAGTTAACGTTGTAAACGATTTTCAAATAATAAATTTCTCGTTTTGCGGAATTAATTGAAGATAGTCGATGTGTCTAATACGAATATCTTCGTTAATAACAGAGATAATAACGTCAATAATAAATCTAAATGTTCAGAAAGGATAGGACTACAGTTTGATTCTAATTGAGATTCGCTGTTATTGCTGACACCACACTCTCTAAAAATGAAATAGTCAAAATTCTATAGAATACTATAGTATACTATTTGAATTAGTACCAGCATTTTTTACTAATAAAATAGTCGTTTTCACTTTTAAATAGTTATTTTTTACTACGTAAATAGTTTGACTAATTTAAGATTAGTCACCATATTTGACTATTTCTGACAGTTAAAAGTAACTAATTTCTTTAATCGTTTACGGCCAACAACAAATTACTTAAGTATTATTTGAATAAACGCATATACCTCTCCATGGTTAAATGACCCATAAAACAAATAAAGATGCAAAAAGTTTAGCTCAAAACAGTAACACAAATAATATATTAAACTTTAAAATATTATGAACAATATTTATTGACAAATAAAATTTATTTTTATAAGAACGGCTGACAGCCGACCACAGATCATATAACTTACGACTGGTTATGAGGTTAGGTTGACAAGCTTCTCAAGTGACAGACGTGAGTTCAATCCCAGGCTGGGTCAAAACTTTTTTTAAATTTAAATTTACTAATTTAACTATTTCATTCAGTGGAATTTGACTAATTATTGACTTCTTTTTCGCTATGACAATTAGTCAAATATGACTTATAATTAGTTATTTTTGACTAATTCATTTTAAGAGAGCAGGATGTCGGGATTTTTTTTTTAACCTTATATTGTATAAGCACAAATTAAAACCAGAATAAAAATGTATACCATAGCATCGTAAGGTAAGGTTTACAACATTCATTGAAAAAATAATATTTATATAAAAATAATTCTAAATTAAAAAGTTTTCCTTTTCCTACAAATATTAAAAACCTTACAAAATGCCTTTTGATACACCTTGAAATTGTGCCCCTTATTTAATTTTTATTAATTTTACTTAAAGGTCACCTAATTTATTAAGTACAGCTGAATCACGGTAATTTTTATGGCATCATATTGGTAATAGGATAAAAGGGGATCGATTTAACATCAAGTTAATTAGTATTGAAAATACATATTATTCTAAAATTTTGCAGCACCTCATATTATTAACCATAAGCTTAACAAATTACTAAAAAATAAAATACTTGACCTGGAGCTCTACTATAATATCCCATTCTGTATGCTCTGTCCAACATAGTTTTACTTTAAAAATAATAGGTTATGTATACCTACGTATGTTGAAAAACCTTTAAGATTGTGTTTGTTATGTTTGTATGATTATACATTTTTGAGGACAATTCATACTGGTCAGTCAAGTTTGCTTTTATTGAGGAAAAGTGTTACTCACCTGATTTTTCTTAAATTTTAACTGTTGGGGAGCAGTAAACTTGGGTGTCATACCAAAGTTTTGTGTTAATTATTTATAAAATACCGCAATGTAATGATAAAAAACGTACTAGATAAATGTTGCGGATATTGTGTTTTGTTAATAATGCAAATATTTTTCATCATACATGTCACTTACATCCGCTATATTGGCACGAAAACATGACGTGACCAAATGTATAAAGAGGCCTCTCTGTGTAAAGTGGTAATTTGCAAATTAAATATGTTTAAAAAGGATTTAAACAAAACTTCTGGAGTAAAAACATATTGCGATACATTTTAAAATATATTTATAATATACATTATATTCTACACATAAAAATTATTTAAAAACTCAGATGTTGTAACTCAATTTTTATTTGTTTAAAAGTTATACGTAATTATATAGTTATTATATATCGTTTTTTCATAAATGAAGAGTAGAAGAGCAAAATGCATGCTTTCCAAAATTATAATTTTATTTTTTTATATCTTTTAACCTTCTAGTACTTACAGGAAAATTAAACTGCTCCGTTTCATATAACTGTACTAAGAAGTTGAGTTAATTTTAATTTTTAGTCCCTTTTAGTTTTTACAACTACACTGTTTAAAATATCTGTGGTGTAAAGAGTAATCTTAAAATGGTGTCAAAATCCAACACCAAATGGTGTTAATATAAACACCATGAATTATGTGGTTGAAAATGTTATAGACAGCAAACACCAAAACGGTGTTTATCTAAAAATATTTGAGAAGTGCACCTACACAGAAAAAAAGGAATAGTTCATTTAACTATATTAATTTAGTTGACCCATAAATATTTATTTTTGTATTTCTTTTATTTTTATCAACTGTGGGAAGGTTAATATAAACAAAGATTAGTTTGACAGTACTAAACCAGAAAGTTATTTTTATTTTTTTTTTTAAATTCGTTAAATTAACCCAGAAAACTTTAGTAAAACCAACCTGTATGGTTCAGTTTACTAAATATCTTGTTTGTAAAATAAGAGTTACTTCAACCTAAAGCACTTTGTTAAAACGATTAAAACAATTTGCCGTGCATTCCCGGTTGCATAGTGTGTACCGATCGCGGCAAAGGCGGTGTGGATCATGTGATGTTCTTAAATCTCGCCTCTGTTGACTTACATGAAGAGCATATAAGCTCAGGTAGTCCTTTGCTTTG